TAACTTACGCTTTAGGTTGTCCCCTATTATAAACTTGTATGCGAATGGCCAATATAAACAGATTGTATTAGATATTATTTCTTCTTTGTTGTTTCTGAATATAACTTACGCTTTAGGTTGTCCCCTATTATAAACTTGTATGCGAATGGCCAATATAAACAGATTGTATTAGATATTATTTCTTCTTTACATATTATTTAGAAAGATAGCTAGATCGATAAAAGAAATTTAGGCCAAGTTTATTCCATGTGCTGTGGATTTAAAAATAGAATAAATTAATGTTGAAATTGCATTATCAGGCATGATCTGTATGAACAATATGAAGTTTTGAAACTGCTGTTTGTGGGACAATATATTCATTTCTGTACAACGTTTCGTCTCTAACAGTGAAACGTACATGTACCTTAAGTATTGTACGTGATCGTGTCTCACTGTTAAAGACGAAACGTTGAACAAAAATAAATCTATCATCACACAAACAGCAGTTCCAAAACTTCATATTGTTCGTAAGTTGAGTGGTTACGTCTTTAGTGAAGAAGTGAAATGAAGTTTAGAGTGATACGTTTGTATTATGTTATAAAACTGAACGATATCGTGCAAGGTAAGCCTAGCATCGATTAAATATAATAGCTAAAGACATCTGCTCAAACTGTCTGCCTTCGTAAATCGTGAAAGCATTTCCAACTTATAAATTTTGATTTTTACCGCTCAAATAATCAGTGTTCCATCTCTTGTGGTAGCCAAGAATTTATATTTTGCAACATTATAGTAAAAAAGTTAAACATTTTGATCAATTAAGTTATATATATATATGTATATAGATAGGCGAGTATTTTTAAAGCGCTTGTGGTATTAGTGCGTCAATTTCCTACTTTCATCGGTGATCTTTCGGTCACTTTCAGGGTACCACATCGTCTAGCCCACAGTTTCATTGGACGTTCACTGCACGACCGCCTCAGGACCACAATTTGCATGCCTGGGAAGGGTGCGCGTGCGCACTGGCGGCGGGAACGCGAGCCATCGTGCCAGACGTTAGCGTGCCTCAAAGTGGGAAAGATGGAACTCGGTGTTGTGGCTGTAGTGTCTGCTGTTGCCTGGGTAGTACATTGGAACACGTTGGCTGCAGACTTCGCCTACGATGACAGGTAAGAGAAATTATTTTCCCAAGGTATGTAATTGCTTCGAGTTATCTTAGCTGTGGTTTGAACAACTCCGACGTCCCTTTTAGCACAGTTATCCCTAAACATCAGAACCGGCGATAGGGTTAACGGTTCGCTGTGAGCAGTCGCCCCGCCGAGCACCGAAGGCAGGCAGTTAACCTGGATTTAGGCGATAAATCGTATCTTAAGAATGTACAAAGAAACACATGATTAGGTTGCCTGTAATATGGTTTACTGTCTCGAAGAAGCTCCGAGTGTCTAGAAGCCTTGTTTCTCAAGTGTAATTGGTAGAAAAATATATACAATCATTTTTTTTCAGATTGAGGAAGTCAAATAAACAATTCGCGGTCCACGCTGAGCCATAGGACGCCTGACGGCCCTAGGCCTAGTTGTGGTGATAACCCACCCGGTTGCGGCGGCCACAAGGAGGCTATATCGGCTTGGCTTCTTGACTCGGGAAGCCCCCACTTTATAGTGTGTTTAGGACCTATCAGTGTCAGGCTTTCTTAGAGTTGATGTGAAATGATGAGTATAGAGCAAAAAAGGAACGTTTATAAAACGACACAATCCCACTAAGTTTTTAATTCTTACAAAGAGTTAAAGGAGTGTTTGAATCGGGTCCAAGCACACGGTTTCTTTTAACACACTGTACTGTGTACATAAATGTTGTTATTCCTTAAAACATTGAGTTGATACTAGTTTTTGAACAAGCTTAAGCTATATTATTCAGTAGCTTAAAAAAAAATCACCCGATTCCTTAAGGAGGTAGAGTTTATACCTGGATTTATTACTATTAAGTACAATATCCTGGCTTTGAGTTTGACGAGCACGAACAGAAACCCCGAATTCAATACGGTTTACGAAGCGTCTGAATCTTTCAAATAAAAGTTTCAAATCTGATTGAGGAAAGAGGTAGAAATAATTCAGTTAATGATGCAACCAGTGGCACAGCGGTAAATATGAAGGATTATAATGCTAAAAACCGGGTTTCGATACCCATGGTGGGCACAGCAAAGATAGTCCATTGTGTAGCTTTGTACTTAACAGGACACAAATAGGAATTCTCTTTATGACAACTTTTTCGCTTAGTTAGATTCTGCCAAATATCGAAAACTTATCTCTGAACAGAGAATTCAGTTTTAACAAGTAGAATGTGAAATGCTTATGCCATAATTTTTCAAGAAAAAAACTAGTTACCAGTTGCAATGATGTGATAGAAAGATATTCTGTTTAATCAGTGTTTTTACCCTCGATTTTGCCAAAATAACTAGTCGGTAGATGTCTCTGTGCGCTAGTTCAATATTAATATTTCTAGAGAATGTAAAACGTTTATCCTATATACATTTTTAAACAGTAAAATTAGTTACCAATTGAAATGAAATGATGGATATTTTATTAAATGGAATGTTAACGACTTCAAATAGAATGTTTTCGAAGCTTTTTATTATAAGAATGAAACGCGAATGAAGGTTTTTGTTAGAAAAACAAACAAACAAACTATATTTGAAACTTTTTTCTGGGTTATTTATGCTTGCTGAACTCATTCAACTTGCAAAGTTTGATCAAGTGTGTGAGAGAGAGCGTATACGCTGCACTTTGAGATAAATAAATTGTATAAATATTTTGAAACTAATTAAAGTGCCAGAATACAAGCGATGTTACCTCTACACATTGTACATGTTTGGTACATCCTGTACTTTTCCTACTACTGCACATGTGCCTTTTACAAGCTGTTCTGATTACAATACACACGTCACACTTAAGCTTTTCGATACCATTAGCACGATGACACGACTACAGCAGACGAACGATACGGCACACACACTGTTGGTTGAACTACCATCGGAATCTAATAAAAAAAATATATCAATAACGTTAGTGTGGCTCCTACTAATAAAACGTATTCATAAACGTTAGTTATCTATCAATAAGAACACTTTTCTTCTGGAACGCAAACACGTGCATGATCATTTAAAAGTCATATCATTTCCTGATTGGTCTTTTCTGTTGAGTAGCTTAACAAACATTATTTTGTTTTCATGTTGTTTGTTTGCGTGTTCGCGGTTTTTTGTTACTATTTATAAACTTAGAACGAGAATAAATCACACTAAGAAAACGAGGCCTAATAGAGTTGATGATAATTGTATTTGAATACGTCTTAACGTCAGAATAAGCCACGTTCCATGAATGTTTACCGTGTAACAAAATATCTGATATTATTACCCGTACTGCGAATGAAACAAACATTACACAAATTCAAGAGAAAAATGTGGGGTTTGAGAAAGAGAAATGCTCGATCAATAATTTGTCCAGGAATTCCCATTTTTACGTAATTCTTACTGCATAACTAATATTATTATATATATATATATACAGTATATGAACTAACTTTTGTTTCCTTGATCCTAGTAATACATAATTTGGCGCCCCCTGTTGACTTGTAGTTTTCTGCACACATAAATGCTTTCATCAAATGAACGTGTATTGACTATATACATATATATGGATTATATGAATAATTAAACATTTTTAGAATTTATTATCTCAAAAAAAATATAATCCTTTAAATTATTTTTGGACATTTATGCAAAATCATAAGTCAGTACAATTGAAAACAAAAACTGATACACAGTCTCAAATAAATATTATTTTTATTGTTTAAACCAAAAGAGGCTGAGGTTTTAAATTCATATGTTTAAAGTAATTGGTTTCCGACAAATTACCTGAAATATTTTGGTGATGAGCCTAAAATGAAAATTAGTTAATTTTGTTCTTTTTTTTTTTCAATGTTATGGGATTTGGTTAAGGTAGAAAGACACTGGAATAGCAGTAGACTTTCTCACCTAATGAACTGTAGAATGGTATTCGCTTTGGAACCCAGTAGAGTTCATCTAAGTGTGAGTAAAAGGAAACATATCTTTCAACAGATATAAAAGTTCAAAATATAATCTGGGTTTTGTGTTTCACCTAACTCCTCATTGTGACAAGAAAACCTGAAGGAATTCTGTAAATCGCATAATTTGTCATGGAATTCTGTAAATTGCATAATTGGTCATGCGATTCTGTAAATCGCATAATTTGTCATGGTATTTTGTAAATCGCATAATTTGTCATGGAATTCTGTAAATCGCATAATTTGTTATGGAATTCTGTAAATCGCATAATTTGTTATGGAATTCTGTAAATCGCATAATTTGTTATGGAATTCTGTAAATCGCATAATTTGTTATGGAATTCTGTAAATCGCATAATTTGTTATGGAATTCTGTAAATCGCATAATTTGTCATGGAATTCTGTAAATCGCATAATTTGTTATGGAATTGTGTACAAAAAATCGATACGTTTTTTGGTGGTGAACCTGCGATCTTCGAGGGACTTTTGCCTTGGCTGTTTTAGGAGAAAATAGAATATTTTATTTTTATTTGAATGAATAACGTATTACTTTATTGTCATTTTGTTTAGACGGGTTGTGCTGTTGTATATTTTACACTTTTCAAACTCTTCTTATCTTAGTGGATAGCGTGCTCGGTCTGTGAATCAGAGGGTTCGTGGTTAGTTATTACAAAACTCTCTCTGGTCCGTTAGTCCAAAGTTAAGGACGGTTAGCACATACAGTCCTTGTTTAACTTTAAGCAAGAATCTGTGTCTAGATGCGAGAACTCTAAAGATGATTTCACTGTTTGTCTGTCTTGTTAGTCTCCAGTAAATCATACTGACACTTTAAAACAGCTGTCTTATCAATGTTGTAAGGAGTGTGGTTGATAGTAACGCCCACTTTCTAGATGATATATATATATATATATATATATGTGTGTGTGTGTGGT